TAAAAGTCGAACTAATTTTATAATTAAACAAACAATTTGGCCATTCTCAAATACTATTAGAATAAGCAATTTGGCCATTTTATATATGCTATTAAAACAAGTAATTTGGCCATGATAATATATTATTAAGTAATTTGACGTAAATACAATTAAAACTGGTAACTTGACTATTTAGTTGACTATTTGGGCTATTTATTTATACACCTCAAGATCACTCGACCTCTTTTGGTGCTTAATTAAATGCACTAGACTAACTTTGTAAAACAATTCTTCGGTATTTACATTACTATTACTGCAGTACTGATAATTAGCAGCTTTGCATATATGAAATTTATATTTATTGTAAACTCTTCAAAGAGATCAAAAAAAAAAGATGAATATTTAAAATAATTGATAATATAATATGGTGCGAGCATTCTAAAGACATCCAAAATCACTACTCTCAACGAATATGTATAAATTTGCAAAAAAAAACCGTAATTTTGTAAAATTTTCCTGTAGTTATCGAGTTACAGATTTTTTTTTTTTTTGCAAATTTGTGCATATTCGTTGAGCAGTAGCAATTTAAAAATAGCTTGAAGATGTCATGCCACACTAATGATCAAGATATTGTGACACAAATTTGATGTGACTAGAGTGCTCGCACCATATTAAATTTATGTCATGCAAAAAAAAAAAAGAATTAACTAATCGGATTCAATTGAATTTAAAACTGAATCAGGAATTCAGCAATGTGAACAATATTTTTTAACAGCAAATTTAGCTGCTTTACCCTTCAAACCTTTTTGATATGTATCTATATAGCGAAATGCCTTCCTTGCATATCGACAAATAGTTGGGAGCGAGACAGAATCAAGAGATAACGGAACAGTTCTTTGCAATTCTTTCTATGAATAATCACAATGTGATTGGCTATATCTCTTGGCTGCACCCCGAAGTTCTCAATGTAATTGAGCTCACAATAAAATTTGGGGTAAAACACAATTTGGTGCCCAGCCGCAACAATAATTTCTTCCAACTGTCCTTTTTGCGCTAAAAAGTCCGGTTGTTAACTTATTAATTCTTGTACTTCTTTTAATTTTAATCCTTTTTCTGGCTACAATCCTCTCTTTCTTAGAACTTCTCTTAATCCTTTAGCTTCTTCACGTAACTCAGGAATACGATAGTCTGATGAAAAAATCATATCCTGGTCATATCTTATTCTCTCACGAAAATATGATATGCTATGTAGTTTCTCTTGTTTTCTAGCAGGACCAAGGTTCATATAGTTGGCGATAAGTGCATCAGGTGAAAAAATAGCATGGCTTGTTGTATTGTCAAATGCGAACAAGGCTTGGTATCCTGAAAAACATGCTTCAAATATGGGAATAGCGCGGTTGATTATCTAGTTAATCAAGTCCTCAGACTTCTACCATCCATCTCCATTTTTGCCAGGGTATGTAATAACACAGACTTCTCTAGGAAGCTCATCCGATAGTTGTATTTCATCAGGAAGCATAAGTTGACCACAAACATTGGTTAAAAATTTGCTAACATGAATTGAACAGCCCTGACCTTTTTTTCGTAAAGGTTGTTCACCATCAGAAATCCAAAGGCTTCGACTTCTATCATTAGCAGAAAAGATGCATTCATCATGTGCAACAAGAATAAGGGGTTGTATATTGCTGTCTGGCCAAGTCCCCACTTCCATGTTATCTCCTGAAAATATAGGCATTCTATACTCAAGTTTACTTATTCGCTACAAAAATATCTCCCAATAAGCTACTACATCTTCTCTCTTATGTCCATCTATATAAATACCTTTTTTTACTCTTTTATAGACATACTCAAGCTCTTTTAAATAATTTTTAGCAGTATTGAGAGAAATTGTTGGAGGTGATGCAAATCCGAGCCCTAGTAAAAGAACCTCATTTATTTGCGACATGATCATATATGGTGTAATATTCTACTTATTTTCTTGAACATATGATTTTATTTGAAGAAGAATATCTTCATCCCAAAGAAAGCTCCATGTTTTAGCATGATACCCACAATGAGAATAAGGAATCTGACGTGCTATAATGTATTCATGTACTCAAGAACGAATGCACCTAGCATGATACACCCCTTTTCCTGCTGTATCTGCAATGATTTTACTTGCTTCCATTTTTTGATGATTATTTTTAACAAGCTGAAGATAAAAATGAATGCTATTAAGACGAACCCAAACCTCACTATTTATGTTTTTTTTTTCGATATCTAATGCTAGATTTTCAAGAGCGGCTGGAATTTTTTTAAGTAAATTACAAGCTTCAATCTTGTCCTCTGACAATTTCCCAAAATCTTCCTTATTCTCATTGACTTCCTCCAACTGATCTTTATTCTCCGATTGTTTCTCATTGACTTTCTTCAACTGATCTTCATTCTCTGACTGTTTATCATACAATTCTTCTCTACTAGCCTGTAATTTTTCTTGATTCCAAAAGGTATGTAGTAGAGGAGTTCCTTTTGCTGCCTCACGTTGTTGCTGTCTTTTTCTTCTTTTAGTACGGACCAAGTTTTCTAGATACGTAGTCTACGAGTTTGATTATAATTATATTCCTGATAATATTTATTTAGGCGTACTGTGGGTTT